TTGGTATTGCCTTCTTCTTCAATAATGTTTGTTTCCTCAGTGTTTAAAACTACTGTGGCCTATTTATATATGATTGTAGTAGAACTGAGATTTTCCCCATCTCTGAAGATGGGCGCGTGTGAGCTACGCACTCCCACTGCGTTTGGATTTTACTATTCTAGAGACTTATGTTTCTTTTTCTTTCTATTTAATTTGTTAAGATTTGATTTCTGTTTCGGTTTTTATTAGATGGGCTACTCTAATTATCAAAATCCCTTACACGTTCATTGCGAGTTCCCGGGAAATGGAAAAATCAAACTTAGGTGATTCTAAAAGCGAAGCAGATTGTAGTTTTTAGGGTTTTTAGATGATGTAGTGATTCCATTGAAGGACTTGTATGGGGAAATTGCATAGAGAAAAAGCCGCTCTTGTTGGGAAAACTACAGAGGTTTATATATACATAAACTTTTTTTCTCTTTAATTTTCTACACCAACTTTGTGAACCGGTAAAAAAACTACACGAACTAGTTAACTCTCTGAAATTTACCAAATGAAATTGGTTAAGCTTCTTTTGAATCAGTGGACATGAGAAATCCGTTTATTTTTGTGGTCCATAATAAGAGGAATTTACGTGGCAAAACTCATGTGGCTTGCTTAAGCTCTATGCATGTACTGATGGAAAAAGAGTTTGCTTTTTAATAAGTCTGGTAAGCTTTTAGCAGCATCTCTTTCCAACTTTGTGGCTGTGACTCCTAAAGGTGATTAGATATCTGGAAAAGTGCCAGTAGCCTTTTTGGAAACAAAATAATTTAAACAATGACTATTTAAGGGTGTAACTAACTATGTTTTTAAGTGTTGGGGTGAAAAATGTAAGTGTTGAAGAGTTTTGGGGTTTTAGCGGTTAAGTAAAAGCTGTCTCTTGTTAAGAGTGCTTTCACGTCGTCATAACTGTAAAAAAAAAGACCGCTTGCTCTTCATGCGATTGTTAAAGACTATAAAGACAGCTAAAACTAAGCTTGATTAATTACTAGTACTAATTATTTTTGTTATTAACCTTCGTTTACTTTTAAACACTACTCTAACCTCTGTTATTTTTGCCCTAGTAACATTTTCACGACCAATTCAATTACGAAGAAATGATTTTATAATTTAAAGATCTTGGAATGAATAAATTCACATTTTGATTTGATAGTGCATCGCCACATGGTTTAAATACAATTAAAAGATTCTTGTTAGATCATAAACTTTTGGTTTGATTTAGTTTCTTGGTACCCTTTAGTTTGTAAGGTTTATTCATTTGGCTTGAGTTTAGTGGTCAACCATACTTGTCAACACTAAATTCTCGATCAACCAGATATTTAATTGGTTCGGGTTTGTCACTAAATTTAAGGAAGACCATATACATATTATTTACTCCTACTAAATATAAAAAAATGCTTTCAACAAAAGATTATAAATACTACACATTGACGTTTTTATTACTACAAATACTATATATTAGATCCAAAACATGAATAATTTCATACTTTGCATGTTAGTTACTGCTATGTATTTTGGGCTGAACGAAGCTTGCCATATAAACCGTTTACGATTTTATAACCAGCTTCAGCCTGGTAGATTTCTCAACATTGAATGCTGGGGAAACAATACAAAAGACCCCACAGATTAAACTTCAATGATGTTCCATATATCATTGATTTCAAGGAGTTTCTTCCGGTAAATATAACTGTAAGGAATCAAACAAAGATACAAAAAAAGAAGTACAATATGGATTTGTATTCCTCAACAGGGGCCTAACCTACCATTTTATATTTGATTTGGAGGCATATATTTCAAAAAGGGATCCTCAATGTGGTCAGGTCCGTTCATGGATTGCCAAATTAGATGGATTGCATCAACAGCCCGGATCCATAATTTGATGGTTCTAGTATCCAAAATAATACTTCCTCCGTTTCAATATATAAGTTGTTTTAGAGTTTTATTTTTGTTTCAAAATGTAAGTTGTTTTGACAATACTAGGTACTTTTAACTTTATTGAATATTGTGTGACCATTAGTATTTTGCAGTCTTTTGTGTGATTGGTCAAATTATTTTTATTAGATATATTAAATAATATTTTTTAGTTGAAAAGTAATTTCTTAATATCCGTGTTTTTTGCTAAAACAACTTATATTTTGAAACAGAGGGAGTATGTTTTTATTCATACCTAAAATTAGGGGTGGAACGGATCCGGATATCCTGGAATTTCAAGGT